CGCAAGATCAACAAAGCAAAATTAAAGCATCAGACCTTGCAAGGAGCGCATGAAATCACGATTCCGTGTGCTTGAGAATTTGAGATAGTTGTATATCATTTCCGGACCAAACTAGCAATTTCCATATTCCCCTGACTTTTAATGCTGAGAGACTGACCTGATCTCAGGCGACCCTTCAGTAAATCCGAGATATACATTTATACAAGTTGTGAGACTCTCGATCATACTATAAGATCCTGTAAGTTTCATCTCCCTATGAAAGCTCTGCACTGAGGGTGTTGCGAAGTTGGAACATTTTAGGAGTGTGCACACAGTCCTAAAATGTTGAGGACAGTTCAGGACAGTTTCACACAGTTCATTTTAGGATTGCTCATTTATGACGTCATAGATCAGTGACCTGACTTGACTTAAAAATGCGGTTGGCGTAAAAAAATCCGACTTATCAAATCCCGACTAAAAAAATCGACTTATAATCCGGTTAAACAAATCCCGACCATGTTTTTACCTGGCCATTAATGTTCTAGCCTTACAGGTGATTGTTTGAACGCGGAAGATGCTGAATCTTCGTTAACCCCATACTTATCGTATGATAAAGAACGTCAGTGTTAGAAAGTTAATTAACAATTTTATTTAGGATAGCTTAATTCAAGTGGGTATAATCCAACTTGACAATTTACTAGGAGGGTTTTGCAGCGCTATTAGTTCGGCATTTAATTATAAATCATTGCTAATTTCGATCCGGATATCGTTATTCAATGCTGGCCTTTGCGTCCTCAGAAAGTTGTTTATAGTCATGAAGGCTTGCATTGACCCATACTTTCCATTTTTCAGCACTATTATTCGCCGTAGCTGACCAGGTGTTTTCTTCAGCTCTCCCCTGAATCCTTTGGCTTAGACCTGGCGTATCACCCGTGCATCGCAAGACGCACCTACCACACACAAGTTCATGATCCCCACGAACCCACACCAGCGTCCGTTCGCTTGGTGTGTGACCCCTTGATCTTTGGCCGCGACAACTGCCAGCTTGCTGGAGCACCCCTCCCTACACGCGCTGCCCCGCCCGCTCCCCTCCCTCCCCCCCCCCCGGGTCGTGTCACGAAGGTTCGGGCTTACGCTACTACCGGCCACTGCGCAGCTGTCACCTAGCGCCTGGGAATGTGTGGTCTGGTGCGGATTCAGCCAACTACCGGCTCGCGACACCAGCGCCACGTAGTGGCGACGGTACATTCTTTTTAGACACACTGTACCTACTGGTTTCGAGGGCTCCCAAACTGGTCTCTGGGGGTCCACGCCTCTAATGGCCTCATTTCTTTTTCTGGGGGCCCAAGACTGGCCTTTGGGTTTCCCCGAGGGCCCGTACTGACTTCTGAAGGCCCGATACCGGTCTCTAAGGGTCCACATCGGCCTCTGAGGTTCCTATGCTGACCTCTGGGGTCCAACACCGACCCATGCTGGTCTTTTAGGGCCCCACACTGACCTCTGAGGGCTCCACGCTGGCCTGTAAGATACCACACCGGCATGTGAGGGCCCACGTCGGCCTCTGATGGTTCCAAACTGCCCTTTGAAGGCTCTGTACTGGTCTCTGAGGGCCTCACACTGCCGGTACGGACCCACGCTGGTCTTTTGAGGGTCCAAACTGGTCTCTGACGGCCCAAACTGGCCTCCTAGGGCCCAACACCGTGGCTTCGGATGGCCGAATTTCTGCCTCTGGCGGACAGAGACTAACCCTTGGGCACTTCTGAGGGCCCGTACTGGCTTCTGAAGGCCCGATGCCGGTCTCTTAGGACCAACATTGGCCTTTGAGGGCCCATCCTGGCTTTTGAGGACGCTCTGTCCGGTCTTTTAGGGGCCCATACTGACCTCTGAGGGCTCCACGTTAGCCTGTAGAAATCACACTGGCCTTTGAAGACCCACGTCGGCCTCTAATGGTTCCAAACTGACCTTTGAAGGCCCTGTACTGGTCTCAGAGCCCAGAGGGCTCTAAACTGGCTTCTTAGGGTCCAAACTGGCCTCTGAGGGTCCCAAACCGGCCTCTAAATGTCTCACACCGGCTGCTGATAACCCCATTTCTGTCACTGACACCCTAGGCTGGCCCTTGTCCCTTGGGTGCCTCTGAGGGCCCCGTACTGGCTTCTGAAGGCTCTATGCCGGCCTCTGAGGACCCATGACGGTCTTTAGGGGCCCTGTGGTAGTGTGCTCCTCGACTGTCTCCCTGGAGCCGCCTCTGCGATGACTTGCCCGCCGGCGCATAGGCCGACGGCTGGGGTCAGCGGGCGCGGTTGGAACGTGGACCAGTCTTGTTCGAGACACAATGCAAGCGGGAGCCCTACTGTCGCTTATAACAGGCCCCACACTGGACTCTGAGGGCCCCAAACTGGCCTCAATGGGCCCCAGCCGGTCTATGGGGTCTCTACACCGCCACTGATGACCCTATTATGGTCTCTGGGGTGCCAGGTTAGTCTGGTCCCTGAGGGCCCACATCGGCCTCTGAGCCTGGGGACCCCATACAGGCCTTTGAGGGCCAATACTGGCCTTTGAGGTCCCTACACCGACCTCTGAGGGCCCCGAATCGGGCTCCTCTGAGGGACCCACACTAGCCTCTGATGAACCCACTCCGGTCGCTGGGGGCTCAAGATTGAACTTTGGGTGCCTCGCACTGGGCTCTGAGGGCCCACATTGACCTCCGAGAGCTCCACACTGGCCTGTAAGGGATCATATTGGGCTGGCCTGTGATGACCAACTGGTTTTGGAGAGCCAGTACTGGCCAGTGGCCACTCAGGGTCCCAAACCGGCTTTTGAGGGCCATAACCGGCATCTGATGCACCGAACCGGACCCTGGTGGCCCAAAACAGGCCTCAGAGGGCCCCGCACCAGACTCTGAGAGTCCCATCTTTAGTCTCTGGGGTCCAAGGAAGAACTTTTGGCGTTTCATACCGTCCTCCAAGGTTCCCTGTCAGTCTCTGTTGGTCCCCATGTCGGAATTTTGGAATTTGAGGGCCGTTATCTCGTCGCAGCGGGCCGGCATTAACATCTATTACCATATCGGTGTCACATCGGTTTCTGAGGGCCCATGTCTGCTGCCAAGGGTCCCTGGTCTCTGATAGTTCCATTTAGGTCTTTGAGAGCCCGAGCCTGCCCATCATAGGCGCCTCACGCTATCTTCTTATTCTCTGCCGATCTCGGAGGGCCCCTGTCGATCTGTTTGGCCCGTGCAGGTTTTTAAGGGCCGCTGCTAGTCTCTGAGAGCCCCATGTCGTTAGTTGTGTCTATTTTGGGTCGCATTGGCACCACACATGTCTCTTAGGGCCCATACCAGTCAAGGGGTCCCACATTGACCTCTCAAGGACCAACGCTGGCCTCAAGGGCTCACACCACCTCAGAGGTTCCGAACTGGCCTTTGACGACCCCGCACTGGCCTTTGATGACCCCGGGCCCGCACTGGCCTCTGATGGCTCAGGCAGGTCTCGTAAGACCCACGTTGACGTTGGAGTTCAATGACCCATACTGCTCTGCGAGGTCTCACCCGGTTTGTGAAATGTGAGGGTCAATCTCAATACTGGCCTTAAATGATCTTACGCCAGGCTTATATAAGGGTCTCGTACTGGTTTCAGAAGTTTTCCGCTACTTACGAAAAACTTCAGGGGGAGGGGGTGGATATTCACCCCCCCTCCGCGGTACGCGGGTTAAGCTAACACACCGTCCCCCAGCGAGGGTCCACAGGGGCCCCTTTGCCAATTCGCCCCCCCCCCCCCCCCCAACGCCAAGTTTACGACCGTACCTGGTGGCGCCCACTTCCGGACTATTGCGCCCCTCTGAACCGCTTTGGGCGCCCTTTCAGGGTTGTGCAACCCCAATAAAAAACAAATAAATCCACCCCTGCAGCTGAGCGCGCCGAGGTCACGCCAGGTAACGTCAGCGTCAGCCGTGTGAGCTGTGAGACACACGAGTGGCAGAGTCCTCCACAGAAAGCCGTGGGTATGGGTGCATGATCATTACGAGCGAGCGAGCGCAGCGAGCGAAGCGAGTCTTTCCAATATAACGGGAAAATCTCAGTATGAGCGGCCCGGCCCGGCCAGGCCCGGCCCGGCCTGTAACGCTTTTGAGACGCTTATATCTCAGCAACCGCTGAACCGATTGGCCTGAGGTCTTTTTTGCTGGGTAGCCCCATCCCTTCTACCCCGTAATTGACTACTTTTGATACATCTCAGTGACCGTCGTGGCACGTGCCACGTCAAAAGTCAAGGGTGTTCAAGCTGTTTTGCAAAAGTAGTGATTTTGAGAGGCCCATATCTCAGCAGCCGCTTGGGCGATTGTCTTGCGGTAATTTTTGTAGGGTAGCTGCATCCCTTCTACCAAAGGTCGGATACTCTTCATCTATGTGAGTGACCCCAACTGCACGTGCAATATGCAAAAAGAAGAGGTGCCAAATTTGTTCCCATTTCAATAACTCGGTAATTACTGGGGCGATTTCGCTGGAACTTGGCATACAGGTAGGCACCCACCAGGCAATGCATTCCCATGTGTTGCGGTTAGGGTGCTACTGCACGTGCGCACGTGCAGGGGGCGCTCCCAGATCTCGAGAACGGCTGGGCCGATTGCGCTCAAATTTGGTACACGGTTGGGGACCAGTTAGTAGGGTGCCGTGCAAAAGTCAGTTTGGACCCCGTTTGCACGTGCGCACGTGCAGAATGCCGCTTTCAGATCTCAGGAACGGCTGGGCCGATCGCGCTCAAATTTGGCACACCGCTAGCGACCGGTTAGAAGGGTGCTTTGCACAAGCCCGTTGGAAGTACCCTCTCGCCTTTCCGCACGTGCAGGGCTCACTATCTCGCTCGCTCGTCCTTCGCCCAAAAGGCGTTTTACTGGTTTAATATCAGCCGTTCTGGTGCAGCCTCATATTCGCCGGGACCGCATCTGAGCGTGCGCTGTTCGCATTGTTCGGCGGGCACGTTATGCATCGCGGAATAATTCCTATACTGATAAACCTCGCATTTTTTCAGATAAAGATATGGTTCCAAAACCGCCGCACCAAGTGGAAGCGAAAGCACACCAACGAACTAGAGATGTTGGCCCAGCAGTACTACGCGCACCTGGGGCTGTACGCGCCGCGGCCGGTGCACCCCGCCGACCGGCTCTGGTGAGTGACCTCAGTGCAAGGTAGGTACACCCCGCCGACCGCCTATAGTGAGTGACTTCAGCCGCGGCACATACACTCCGCCGACCTGTGACCTCAGCACTCACTACACACATACACACACACCGCCGACCGGCTCTGGTGACCTCAGCACGCAGTGGCTGACGGCTGTCTACTCTAACGGAGTGTTGCAGCTGAGGATACACCAACAGACTAGTGACTTCTTTTGCAAAGGGAGACATCGTCGCTACTCGCTTCCATCAAATGACGTTGTTGAAACCGATGGAGAGATATGTTTATGATGTGTGACTGTCCGTGTGTCGTCAGGCTGGTGTCCCAGGGGCTGCACCCGCCGGTGCCGCCGCCGCCGGCCGGAGGTCTGCTGCCGTCCATCTACTCGGCCGCCGCCGGCCGCCTGCTGCCGCCACCGCTACCGCTCTCCGCCCCCGCGGCCCGGCTGACCCCGCCGACCAGCTCAGCGCTGGAGGAGGCGCTCCGCCGCGGCCTCACCCGACTCTACTCCCAGCCAAACCCCCACTCACCGCCCGCCGCGCGAGCCTCCCCGCCGCTGCTGTCCTTGCGCAATATGATAGATGGCGCCACCGCCGGCCACATAGGTGGCGCTGCGGTGTCCGCAATAGATGACGCTGCAATAGACCAGCCGGACGACGGCTCGCAGGACGAAATTGACGTGGTCGATGCCGATATGTTGTAGTAGCCGGGCAGCGTGGCCCGAGGTAGCCTGTACCAATTGGTCAGTTGGTAGCCTGAGACTGGAGCGCTGAAAAGTCAGCCTTAACGCCGGTCGACACTTGGACCGAGTCTGCCGTCGGAGCCGCCTGCGCGCGATACTTGTGCCGTGCGTGGCGAAACCGATGAACGAAATGTCGAGCACGTCTAGAAAGTGTACAAAAAGCAGCTAATCGTAGGTATAGAAATGAAGTGAGTCGCCTACTGGGCCTGGCAGGAATAACATACTTCCATTGTCAGCCGAAAGCCAAAGCAATGAACTGTAAAACAGAAACGCACTGACTTCTGATTGTGTCGTCTACTTGTTGCCAACAGGTCTGAGGAGAGTAGCCACTCAACAATAAGAGTACATACAATAATTATATCTACCCCGAGACGAAATTTTTGCTGGGTGCTGTACGCATAAAGGTAGTTTGAAATGGTGGAGTGGGAAAATGCGAGTCTTTATGACTTGCAAGTGGAGCTACGGCCTACGATACAAAGAAGCAGCCTGGTTCAAGGCAAACACAAGGCAATTAAAGTGAATGGCCAGAATCGAGTGTCATGGAGTGAACCGTTTCAGACATTAGGGCCTAACTTCACATTCTTTACTGATGCAAAGGAGATCCAAGAGAAATTAATTACTTTACAAATGATTAGTTTTGGAAGTGTAAATAAATGAAGTGGCGCAAACTATAGACTCGTATATTCATCTGAATGCTGGCAGACACTATGTAGAAGACGTTCAATGATCGTTTTCATTATTTGGCGCCGGTGTGCCTTAAGAGCGGTACCGTGGCGGTCACACATCACTAACAAAGACTTGTCACCATCACAGCGTCTCCGCGACGACTCACTATAAAAAGACACCGATACCGAGGCACAACCATCATCGACCGACCACCGAGCACCTCTACACAAACGGACATACAAAACACGCGGTATTGCACGAGTTATCTGCGCCGGACGGCAGGCGGCCGGCGCCTGGCCGGGGCGGGGAGGGGGCGGGACTGACCGTCATCGCTGGTCCGCTCCGTGCAGTGCAGCGGCTCCAACTCCGCTGCTGGGACGAGGCGGCTGGTCTGGGACGGTCCGACGGAGGGCCCGTCTACGAAGACCGGTCTGAGAACAGCCAGCAGACCCGTCTCCGTTCCGTCTTCACGCTGACTGCACCCGTGTCTCCGTCCCTCTGTTCAACTATAGGTCTGTCTTCGCTCCGTCTCCACTGCTGGCCTCACTGAGCAGTCTATGAAGACCCGAGGGCGCTCTGGGCCGCTGGACTCTCACATCCTGAACACGCCGAACTTGGCGTCAGGGATGGGCGCGTTGAGCGCCGCTGACAGCGACAGGCCGAGCACGCGGCGCGTGTCGACCGGGTCGATGACGCCGTCGTCCCAGAGGCGCGCCGAACTGTAGTAAGGCGAGCCCTCGGCCTCGAACCGCTCGACGATGGGCGCCTTGAGAGCGGCCTCCTCGTCGGGCGTCCAGGGTTTTCCCTCGCGCGCCCGCTGGTCGCGGGTGATCTGCGCCAGCACACCGGCCGCCTGCTCGCCGCCCATCACCGAGATGCGTGCGTTCGGCCACATGTACAGGAACCGCGGGCTGCCGGAGGATGAGGGGGAGGGGGAGGGTCAGTCTCGTAAGGGAGCGAGCTGCTTGGGAACCGGGAGAGAGTTGAGCTTCGTAGGCGAGCAAACCTGCTGAGTGCTGGGTGACATTACTGTGGAGACTGGAGATGGGACATCACTTCCCCGGACGAGAATTGGCGAGGTGGCAACACGGTGGGGACGCAGTAGTTTAAATGTTAGTTACGTACAGGAAGCGTACATATAGGAGCTAGTCCTGGAGTTAAAATTGACCCGAGTCATCTGCAGCCTGGCAGAAATTATCAACGACCAATGACGATGAAAGTTATAAGTTTTTTTTTGCGGTTTGAGCATAATATGACTGTACCAGCCCACACAAGAGAATTACAGCTCCATTCACCCTTGACAATAGCTCACCTGTAGGCGCGGCCGCACATGCCGTAATTGCCGGCGCCGTACGAGCCGCCTATGATCAGTGTCAGTTTGGGCACCTGGGCGCACGCCACGGCAGTCACCATCTTGGCGCCATTCTTGGCGATTCCGCCGGCCTCGGCGTCCTTGCCCACCATGAACCCTGCCAGACGGACGGATCGCGGGGTGAGACGCGAGGCGGAGCTGAGAGCCCAGCTACGGGAAGCAGTACACTTAGACGAGGAAGTAGCTAGGTATAGCTGGACATAGCAAGAACACATTCAACTGCTGCCGGCCGGCCCAGATTTGACTCCTCACTTCCTGTCATAAAATATCAGCAAAAGGAGCCTACCACACTGCCGGTCGGCCTGTCATGGGTGACGTATCTGCGACAGTTGTCAAGTGTGGGTACCACCCTGGTGATAAGTATCGTAGTGTTAGCTGGCTGGAGACCACACCTCACTCCATCCCGATCGGCCTCGTACCTGTGATGTTCTGCAGGAAGATGAGCGGGATCTTGCGCTGGCAGCAGAGCTCGATGAAGTGGGTGCCCTTGAGCGCCGACTCGGAGAAGAGCACGCCGTTGTTGCCCACGATGCCGACCGGGTAGCCGTAGAGTCGGGCGAAGCCGCACACCAGCGTCTCGCCGTAGCGCGCCTTGAACTCGTCAAACTGGGAGCCGTCCACCACGCGAGCAATCACCTGAGAGGAGACGCAAACCGTCAGACGTGCTGCATGATGTGTATACACGAAGCGCAATCGCCTGAAGGAGCCGTGGGTAGGTATACATTTAATATAGCGACGCAGCTCACCTCTCGCACGTCAAAGGTTTTCATGAGGTTGTCGCCGACGATGCCGTAGAGGTCGGAGGCGGGCAGGCGCGGCTCCTCCGGCTCCAGCAGGGTGACCGGCGGCGTCTTCTGCCGGTTCAGGTTCCGCACCGAGCGGCGCACCAGGTGCAGCGCGTGCAGGTCGTCCACAGCGTAATGGTCCGTCACGCCGGACTTGCTGCGGGTGGGGATAACGCAAAATATTGGTAATGGGAATTCAGGGCACCACATCTCTTAAAACACAAATTTCAATTATCCATACAGCTGTTTAACATTTTAATACAGAATACGACGACCACTTCTACATTTTGCTGAAGTGCTGGCGATCAGTTCATCTTATTCAGTGAGCCTGTCATATCGTGTTTGTACTAGGTTTGTTCGCGGTTTGGCGGCATGTTTCTGTGCCGGCATTACTATATAGTTAGCATGTTGGTAGTACCCTGGTATCGCCAACAACCGGCCCTTTCCCCACTGTGTTCCGGGGTCTGCTATCTGCCCAGCTGAGCCGCTGATCCGCGGCTCTCTCACCTGCAGTGCAGGTCGGCGCCGCCCAGGTCCTCCGCGGAGATCTTCTCCCCTGTTGCGGCCTGTACCAGCGGCGGGCCGGCCAGGAAGATGGTGCCCTGTCGCCGGACGATGACCGACTCGTCGGCCATGGCCGGGATGTAGGCGCCGCCGGCCGTGCAGCTGCCCATCACCACCGCTATCTGAGCGAGGGGGAGGGGCGGTCAGACGGGGAGGGACAGAGGACGATTAAATGGGAAGGGGCAGAAGACCGACAAACCGAGAAGGGGGACGGGGACGAGTGGGAATAACTAGGAGAGGACACGAATGCGAACAGTAAAATAGGCCGGCCTGTCACAAGCCCCCCGAGCGGACCGCTAACGGCAGTAACATCTACCGGTCGTCTCACCTGCGGTATGTTGCGCGCCGACAGGTTGGCCTGGTTGTAGAAGATGCGGCCGAAGTGGTCGCGGTCGGGAAACACGTCCGCCTGTCGCGGCAGGTTGGCGCCGCCCGAGTCCACCAGGTAGACGCAGGGCAGGTGGTTCTCCAGCGCCACCTCCTGGGCGCGCAGGTGCTTCTTCACCGTCATCGGGTAGTAGGAGCCGCCCTTGACCGTGGCGTCGTTGGCCACCACCATGCACTCGACGCTGTGGGCGGAGGGGGAACGACAGTCAGTGTCAGCGCCGGGGTAGAAACCGGGCCTGGGGGCCGCCGAACGGAATTCAGAGGGATGACAGCTTCTCCATATGCACAAGAAAATAAGGACAGCGAGAGAACGACAGCCCGTGGCCGTGCAGCGGTATTAATTGGAGGGGAATCGAAGTGACGGTGGCAACTCCAAAGAACAGGTGGTACTGCCACACAGGGTGACGCCGCGCTGGTGCGATTATGAGTGCAAGACGTGGGAGGCCAGCCGTGTGTTCGGCGCCGGCCCCAGGGCGCACCGACTGACCCGCTGATGCGTCCGATGCCGGTGATGATGCCGGCCGCGGGCACCTCCTCTGCGCCGTACAGCCGGTGGCCGGCCAGCTGGGACAACTCCAGGAACGGCGAGCCGGGGTCGAGCAGACGCTGGATCCGCTCCCGCACCAGCAGCTTACCTGGGCAGACAGTCGCAGTCAGTCACAGTCTCACAGTGACACCCTCCCGGACCAGCAGCTTACCTGGAGACATTGACCTAGTCAGCCGCAGACTCAGTTACAATCACACACCCGCCCACGACAACGCAGCTTACCTGACGGACGCAAAAATATTCAGTGTTGGATTTTTTACACACGATTCTCGAAGCCGCAACCGACTTGCTCCCGTTTTAATCATACTAGTTCGAAACTATTGCAATGATACCTATGCCTTTTTAATCGATTCAATGGAAGATGTTTCAGATCGATTTATTAATCTGATAATCAACAGTGCAGCAGAGGCAGCCATAACGTGCGGCCTCTCAGATGTGCACACTGACCTTTTGAGGTGTGTCTCTGAACGGCCTTCTCGCCGCCACCGGCCAAGATTCGCTCCACGTGCCCGGAGAGCTCCGAGACCAGCGCGGACATGCGCTGATGGTTCTCCTGCAGACAGCAGAACAGCGTGAATACAAGGTCCTGTCCTCTCCGGACGCTGCCCAGACTTGTCCTGACCAATAGACAGGCAGGGCACACGGCGTGAATGCAGAGGATGGTCGCAACAGGACAGGGAAATACAGCGTGAATAACGGGAAATGATAGAGAAGGGCACCAAAACAAAGCGCGGTGTAAACAAGTGGCCCTACAGAATCCTTCATACTGCTAGCGATGTCCCGACTCCCCAACACCATTTTTCTATGCGAACGTGTAGCCAAGTGATGAGAAAATTTACCCATTTGCTCACCTGAAACTGTTGGCTGTTCCTGTTGGGCTCAGTGCCGATAATGGGCGCCCCATCTAGGTGGTAGCTTCGGAGCAATCCAGCTGCCTGGTGGCCAGACGTCTTCCCGAACCTCCATCGCAGCCCCCGCAAAAGCAACGCCATGGTCTTCAATTAAGCCTACAGACAAACAAACTGGTTTATAATAGACGTAAAATATTAACTCAATAAAATGCTTAATACACGAGCAGAGTCGGAGTCCGCTGGGTCCTCATAGATCTGGTTGGAATTATAGGCGAAATAAGACACGCCGAAATCGACTTTTATCGACGGAAGGTAAGTCCATGCTTTGGCTGGCTAAATCCATACTCTTACGTGCTTTAAGAGCATTAGGTAGATCATTATTAGAGCATTAGGTTGAGCTCGTGAGCATTATTAGAGCACCTCTTTCTTCCGATCGTATATGATGCAGGAAGTCGGCACTTTTTTCATAATTAGGGCGAATGCTGGAATGGACGGATTAACAGGAGACCTGAATCTCACAGATTACCCTCGGGAGCAACTAGAGCCTGTGCTCTCATCACCAAGAGCACAACACCATAGGAGATGTTCCAAACGAGCGATAAGACACGGTCGGATGATGTTATTCCGGCATACCTACAGTCAAGGCCGAGCTAGACTGTCGCCTGTACGTGATCCTCCAGGACATAACCGTGCGTCCTGGTTTTATCGGGTTTGCATAAAATGGGTACGCAGACCAAGTTCAGTTAATACTGAGAAGCACCTTCCAAGCAACTGGACAAACAATGCTGATTGACATAGGCGGCGGAACTAGGGGGCACTGGGGCACCGTGCCTCCTTTGATTTTGGCATTTTAACATTAGCCCCTGCCCTATGGGCATTGCAAGGAGAGAATGGGACCAAAAGTTGGCAGTGCCCCCCTTAATTGAAGGTGTTCCACCGCCACTGCTGACTGACCGCACACATTCAAAATCCACCACTCACTTCAACAACTGAATAGAATCAGGATTCAGGACACTGCATGGAGATCAATAAGACCCAATCCTTGGGTGTTGAGGCCAAGTCACCTTTCAAAATTCTGCATGTTACAAGCATAGGTAAGTATGTACCATGCATTAGATTCATTCTCTTAACTATTATAGTGGTAGTGGATAAACAAACACTGCCCAAAATGTGATTGAATCATCTCCAAAGCAGAACAAGTTGAAAAAAAAACAATTAAAAAATACAATGCTGCATATTAAGCTCAAGGTACAGCCCACCGCTAAAGTAATGTGCAGTTTTACCAATCTCAACGGATGGCTTTGACTTGCGATTTTTTAATGCAGAGTGATCGAAAAAAGACGTCAATAGATTAAGTTGCGGCTGCAAGGGTAACGATACAGGTTAGCTACATTCAAAGTTTCATTGTGGTCTGGCTTGGTCTGGCTAATCATTCCCAAGCTTCAGAAGCAGAACATACCCAGCACTGAAACCGCACATTACTTATGCCGTGGACTGTACCTAGGTACAAAGCAAAACTCGTTGAATAAAGTCCACACATCAATTATCAAACAAATCAATGAAACTAGGTTATCACAAATCTTATTTTCGTCGATATTGATATAAGCATTTGATTCCGTAACCTTCACCCCTACCCTGCTAAATACGTTTATTACGTTACGCCACGACGTACGTCCTCCTTTGCCATGTCAATGTAGCCCTGTTCAGACTCACCGGCGCGCCGCTAGCTAAAGTGTTGTTGATCCTATTTCGACAAATCAGCGATAGGCGTCGCCAGAATCAGCTCCCTTGAGCACAATCATAGGGCCTAAGGAACATAAATAAATGAGGATCTATTGCGCCATGATTGTGTGATTATACTGCTTCCAAATTTTACTATCTTTTTGGCTGCCATTTCAGTAAAGTTGCTTCATGGTAGTAAAGGAATCTTGGTTGCTTGTCCCCCTTCCACGTCGGGTGAACTATCTATGCACGCCACCAACTGACCTGTAGTACCGTAAAGTAAAGCAACTTCGATGGGTCCCACAAGTCTTATAGCCCCCAGCTTCTGTTATCTCAAACTGGTAACTGGTAAGACATACTTCAGGCTTGTGATCTGTTTAATCACGTTACACTCACAGCAATGCTTCGACAGGCCGACAGTCACAACGTAGCTTAGAATGATTGTGGTGCTGGTCTGCCGTATTGGTGGGTACTTCATCTTTCGGGCATTCCCGATACACGGAATACGGATGCTTACAAACCGAAAGGAAAAACTGGACCCTGGCGGAGTCAGACGTCAGATGCAATCATTGACACCAGGGCCCTGTTTCACGGCGGAGCGCTGCAGTGCGCTGCGCGCGTCGGCGCGTTGGGTTTCCATGGCAATATCAACAAACTTCCCTCTGACGCTACGCTATGACGTCATCGCAAAGCTCTAGCACCCAAGCGTCTGCACCATCAGCACGCTAGCAGCATTCGCACTCAAACTTCTGTTCTCTCTGTACTTGGTTCTTTAGGACCTCTGTTCCAAACGCGATTCATCATAAGCTAACGGATCGCACGCAACGTCATTCGAGTGACGTCAGGGGTACGCCTCAGCTCCCAGCGCGCTGCAGCGCGCGCAGCGTCGGGCGATGCAGGCCCATGTCGTCCCCTATCTCCCTGTGTGTCCAAGTGCACAGATGACGTCACACGAAGGGGCGGAGTCGGGGGCGGAGCCTGGCGCAACGGCCGCCATATTTGAATTTGTTTTATCAGAATGTATTCTATATTTCGGGTTTCAGTCAATTGTTATCGATAGTTTTATGAACGGTTAGCTGTATTATAAGTGATTTATCAAGAAAAAACACATCAAGGCCCTAAATACAAGGTTGCACGGACTAATTTCTACTAAACCTACCAGAATATAGTTTCGCGGTTGGATATTTTAATAAATATTCAATCAAAACTTCTTTATTATTTTCTCGTTATCATAAATAAGCAATTTTATAAATTGACTTTCAATTTTCTTGCCTTTTACTGGCAAAATAACTTTCTAGTATTGGGTCAACATAGTTGTGTAGCAGTAGGAACCATAACTGGCAAAACCCCTATGCCTACATACAGCAGAAAAGCAGCCACCAGGTGTCGCCACAGTCGCCACTTGGTCGCCACACAGATGTCGCGCGCGTCGCCAATCGCCACACTACCGATTTCCATAAGGACGCATATGTACGATTATGTATTGGAAAGTCACCCTTAAGGATTACGCTTACATCCTTTGCTTATGAGGTCGGTGGTTGGAAATTGGGAGGGGCTCAGCTATTTTCGACCACGGATATGGCTTTATCGCATGATGAGGAACATGCTGATAAGCGTTTTATGTGTCAAAACAGCACAAAAGTATTTTTAATCATTTTTCAAAAATAGCCGTTCTGCCGTATCTTTCAGTGCAAGGTGCCGTCGGTCAGTCCCGACATGACGTCACGCAGGGAATTCGCCAGATTTTCCTACTAGACTTCGACACCCCCTGAAACACATATTCTGCTTGCAATTTCGATTTAAGTACGACCCGCGCCTAGATTCGAACGCACGATCTTTGGATTACGGCGCAAGCATCCTAACCACTACACTACCGCGGCGGCGAGGCGGCCGGCGGAAGGGGGGCTGCGGAGGCATGGGGGCTTTTTTACGCATTTTTGGAAAAACTAATGGGTTTAGTGAAAAACGCTTCTTAGATAATTCGAAGAAAAATGTCTAGGCTTTCCGATGATGCACTTAGTTTTGTGCTAGCTTTAGCAGAGTTTGTTCTACAGCGCTTCAAAAATCGCCCATTTGCATAGGACTTAAACGGGACTTCAAGACTTGCCCCCAGATGACGTCACGAGCTGACGTCACGATCAGGTAGAATCGCCGGACGACCCTACCTGGTATATATGGCTGGCCTTGGGGCGATGAAACAGGGCCCAGGCGTCTCGCAGGAAGCCGATGATAATAAGCGCTGCGCCGGCGTGTAACTAGTCCCTTGAAAATATCGATGCATTGAGGTCATTGAGGCCTTACGAGCATAACCTCTAGCCGGCTTCCACCTGTTTCGACCCATTTGTGAGACGCTGGCGCCTCAGTCATACAGCAGTTTTACTCCTCCCGAAGGCGAAGGACCGTGCAGCGTGCTACAGTAATTTTTGTGACATAACCCATGACCTTACCCTCCAACTGAATGGCATAGTTCGCCGAGCCGCCGCAGCCGATGTACCGATATAACGAATAGTGTTTGACGGATTTTCAAACAATCTGCAGTTACGTTCAATAGAGCTTACATATGTAGTTGCGGTATGACTGATCGCATGACCATGCTTCCAAAGCACACAAATGCCGACAGGAAAAGACCTCTATATTCAAACCATTTCTAGAAAAAATTGAGCTCACTTAATAATCAGTATAAAAAGTTAACAAATATTCATCGATTAAATTGTACCACCTGAACATGGACGAAAATTAGCGAGGCTTATGGGACGTATTCACACCACTTCTACGAAAAACAGACCGATATAGTTTGGAGACATGTATTGGATCGGCGTATCGCTCAGCGTTCGATTATATACACTGCATGTGTTTTTACTCATCACTCCACCATACCCGCAGACATCTGAAAGAGAAGGAAGCGCCGTCAGTTATCCACCTGGTGGCCGTTTGGAAAATTAACCCCTTTATGGGTCATTACTTGGACTGTTTCTACCCAAGAATGTCCCAACTTGCTTTGTCAGGCAGCCCCTAGGCCCCCAGCCCCTTTGAACACTCCCCTAGAGGAGTGATTATTGGCCAAACCACAGCTAAAGCTGGTTGAAAAAGCAATGGCTTAAATAACAACTGAAAGTTCACGCACTTACATTTTACTTCTTCAGCAGCTGATGCCTAACCATGACAAACGGAACTGAGAAGCCGCTGCCACAGAACAGGACGAATCCCAGGGTGAGAGCAAACCTGTTCTTCACACTGAACGGCCAGTTCTGAAATAAAAAGAGGTGCAAGTAAACAATGGGGCTATTTGACGTAGTTAACACATTCATAGGTACAGTAATTAGACGGACAATCTCTGGTCAATGTAAATTAACTGCGGTGTGTTGCAGAGATGTGGCAAAAACCCCCGCCGGGCCGGTGCTCGGCGCCAACCGCGCCGAGGCGGGGGTGTCACCCCCCCCCCCTCCCCGTCTAACTCGACTCCTGGGCCACGTAGTGATACGCGGCAAGCGGTATTCGAAAGAGCGTATAAAATCATGATGATAATTTTTTGGTCATTTTTTAGGTCAGGTCACCAGACGTCAGCAAAGGAAATGTTTTGTCTATTTCTATATTTTTTTTCAACAAACCGGCGTATAACTCGGGAATTATTAGAGCTATAGCGCCGCAGAAAAGCGCATTCAATTGCTCTTTTAACGCTCTTTCGCTAAAATGTCCTCAGATTTGACGTAAGATCAACGGTTTAGCCAGCTACAGAGGGCAAAAACGTTTTTTGTTGATAGATCAGACTACAAATGCCTATTGACCTTACAAACTCTTAGTCCACATATTGCTTACAACATTGAGTTTCCATGTACCCTGTCAAGTGGTGTATTTGATAGCATTTTTTTCAGTAGGTATGGTTTTAGTTCTTAAGTAGGTAAATATAATCTACCTGACTGTGCCACTCAATCTCTGTTAGTGAACAACAAAACAAACCCCTTGGATGACCCTTTTTACCATAATGACAAAGTAGCACATAGCGGCTTAATGTTTGTTTCCTTTTACAAACTTTTATCAGGTCACTGACCAAATCAGGAAGATGCTGCTGCAAGTCTCAACTGCATCATTAATTGTCTGTGGTATCTGCCCAAATCTGCTGCTAGGAGACATATATCCAAGAAATCTGTTGTCAGTAGCAGGTAAAAATGTTTCAATCTGCTGCTATTAAACATTCAATGAAATGAATCTACTTCCAGGGGCAGCAAATTCAGGGATGGCAAAAGTCTTGTGTATTTAAATATCCTTCTCAGCAATTGTATTATAAAAGCTTTGGTAGGTACCTAACCTAGCATATAATCAAGCATCTCTACTTAATGGGAATTTACCAATTTCCTCATATTACTTTTTTGCTACAGTTTTATGAGTTTTAAGCTTAAAATGATCAGAAAAGGAAATGATCATCAATTTAAAAACAATTCAACAGTTCATATAGTAAAAACTATTTTCCATTTTTGGTACAGGCTAAATACTGTTTGCAGCTGAAGCTGATCATGTGTCAACCACTCACATTATGTAGGTAGGTACCAAAGTAGTTAGTACAAAGAGCTGCATGCTGTTTGGCTGATGATAGGCCTATTCCACAAGTAACTGAACTGTGTTCTTGGAATTTTTCCTTAGAGGAATGTGTTACTCTGTAAGGGAATGATCTTGGAACTAAAACATCATGACTATGAAGTTCTTTTAATGTGCAAACGAACGAAGAGACTTTGTGGTGATAGTCCATTTTGCCTTACTTTGAAGTACATAATCTTCAAATTCATAGACCACTTGGCCTGTATGTCCGTTCCAAACCAGCTGCTTAGCGTGCAGTAAATATTTACTTTAGGAGTGGGATGGCTCCTATTGCAACACTCTGGAGACCGCATGCCGCTTCACCAGGTCCCGTGAGTGACCTCTTGTTTTCACGGGCAGTTAAGCTGTCTGAGAAGTCATGTGAGTCCAGCTAAACACCTGATACAGGGTGATCGAAAAAAAGTGTCACCCCTAACTTAAAATCTACATAACTCGCGACTGGTAGGTTGGATGACTTCGCGCCAGGCAGCATCGGAAAGAGCAGGCAATTTCTTTTCAATTGAATGTATTCATGATTGTTTTCTATTCCAAATCATGTCCCCATGGGCTCAAAAACCAGTCAATGTGCGGCTTTCACGTGAAACGAAATTCACCGAACGGGATCGGACACCGCTGAACGAGAACAATGAGTATCGTAGCTCAACATGACACACACATTACACATTATACATGGAGTGTATGTTGTTCACTGCAGACTGTTTCTCAGCTGACCTTAGACTCGTTTCTCAGCTGACCTTAGACAAGGAAGACCTTATCAGATCTTCCTTGCAAACATGCGGCCTCATTATTCACAAATTCGCCGGTAACTAGCGAAACATTGCGACAACCTGCACTACCGGATTATCAATTTTATGCGGCTGTTATCATGGAACAGTTAAGAAAAATGCTCACGTGAGCTGTCACGTGAGCTGTCAGATCAAAAACTCTGTCAAAAGTACAAATTTGCACAACCAAACTTTTGAACACACCAAATTGCGTCCTTAACATACTTTTTGAATAGCTACATCTTCGTTTGCGGCATAAACCATGCATATTTACATCCATTCAAAAGGAAATTGTATGCTCTTTCCAATGCTGCCTAGCGCAAAGTCGTACGACCAACCAATCGCGAGTTATATGGCTTTTAAATTAGGGGTGACACTTTTTTTCGATCACCCTGTAGATAAGCATCTGATATACTGCTATCACGTCATTGTGCCGCACCTTAGTCGGTAGTAGACTGAAAGGGATGGCAGCTTCAAGCTTTTCTGTCTTATGAACTCACCAATGTTTCAGGCAAATTTTCGAATCAGTAATAATACTAGTTGGTAGTCGTCAAAAAGAAACAATCAAGAAATTAAGAGTGAACCAAAATAATACCCACTCACCGCCATGGGAATACCGCCATAATCGGCAACGCCACCCTGTCTGGCAGCGGACGTGGAAAGCTGGCGCGCTCCAGCCGCCAAGCGCACGAGGGACCTCATATCTGGATTTAAGAAATTGTTTCGTAATTAAATGCGAAGGAACCAGCCCAAAGCTTCAATCCAAAAGAAATGGTACACCGCCACAGCCAGTTCGACGAAAAGAAAGATTGACTGCGGCGCTTATGCCGCGGTAGAAAATAGTGATGAGATTGAGAGACCAAAGTTTACCGATAAGCCTTCTTCGAAATCTAATGATCAACCTTAGTGACATGTTCGCGTTATTTTGTCATAACTTCGTCGTAGACGTCATTCAAGGCCCATGCAAGAAGTTTTTTGAGTTTACATGAATATTTATGAGATTGATATCCATTTGATACCTGTTTGGCTTCTCTAGGTTCCGATTTCATACCGATGATATCGATAAGATATTTTTCCCGAGGGATCCGACCACGACCACAGGGGAGCAATGCCGCTTCAACCCTATTGGCCGTAGTGTCTAACGGTGGCGGCCATATTGCGCAGACCAGGAACCGGCTGCCGCCTGTGTTGAGAAATAGGGAATTCGGGACCTCGATTTACGTTTGCGGCCGCCGCATCCGTTACGTTCAAGTTACGTAGATAAGGAACCCGGCATCTTACGCAGAATTGAGTGGGGAACACGATCGTATCTTCAGAATTCCCCAAATTCACTCGCCGGACCTACATTTGCCCCGGCCGAGGGGGTTGATTGAACCCACCTCGCTGATGCGCCGCTAATTAAACTAGAATTTAGCAGTTAAGTGGTCGTTTGCGACAAAGTATAATGCAGAGTGACTGGTAGGAACCCACTGTAAAGGTCCCCGGTCAACCGGTGACCTCTGAGGTCAGGTCAAGTGATCTAAGGCACTGGTTCGGTTTTTGGTAAATAACTTCGCCAAAAATGGCCGTAGAGCCGCAATTTTGGCATCATCGTGTTCAGCTAGCTCAGGCGCATCGAGTGATATACTTTTTGTTCGGGTCAGGTCAACTTAGGGTGTTGACCTCAGGTCAAGGTCAAGTCAGCACCCCCAGGTCACGAAGTTGGTCGAAAGAGGTCATGTCGCATATCATTCGATTCGGCAGGTCTTTCTGAGTCCATTGGTGGCTTTCCCGACTCGCTAGCTCAATTTGATCGGGAGTTATTGAAGAAAAACTGTGACCCTTGTGACGTCACAAATGACGTCACGCAAGGGCAACAATGCAAATATGAAGCATAGAACCTTGCAAGGAGTGCATGAAATCATGATTCTATATGCTTGAGATAGTTTCAGATCATTCTCGGCGCCAAAATAGCAATTTTCATATTTCCCCATTGACTTATAAGGGTTTAACGTATTAGTTCCTTGTATCTGAGAATTTTTTAGGATTTCATCTTATTCTCCACTCAATTCTGCGTAAGATGCCGGGTTCCGTGTCCACATAGCTTGAACGTAACGGATGCAGCGACCGCAAACGTAAATCGAGGTCCCGAATTCCCTATTCCCCAACACAGGCGGCGGCCGCTTCCTGGTCTGCGCAACATGGCGGCACCGTTGGACACCATCTGGCGGCCGATGCGCATTCCACATTATATACCGGGGTTACATGAGCGATCCGTTCCAAATACGCACTACGCTAATGCGCATCAGCTCCCCACAAACGGATCTACGGCACCGGTTACATGAGACTAATTCGTTTTATCTACGTCAAACGGATCTTGTTTGGCTCACCCGGGCTGACTCCTCGACGGCCGGTAATTCGCATCACAAACGGAATAGGATTAGCGTACAGTCATGGCGCAGTTGCGGCATTTACCGGGACGACTGAGCTAAATTTTAAATAATTATATCATTTGATAGGCTCAAAAACATTTAAAATTACCATGAAATCAAAAAATGAAAACAAAGTTTTCTTGTTTTAAGTCAGTGGGCACTGATTCGCCACGCAGCGACAGCAGGGTGGTCAGAAAAAATTATCTATCAAAATATTTCATTCATTTTATTTCACATGCAAAGACTAAACCAAAATACCAACATTTATTTGTTATTTTCTACGAGGCAGCCAGTGGCGGATCTAGGATTTGAGTTTAGGGGGGGCAAACATTGCGCCGCCAGGCAAGTCGGCGAGAATTTCAAACGTCCAGTCTTAGGAACAAAAAAAAAAACGAGCTACCCCTATTTTTCTCCTCGGATTTCGGGAATTTTTTTTTGATTTTTTACATTTTTGTCAGTCCGGCCAAGCCAGGGCAGCGCAAAAAAAAATTGCAGCCACCCTGACCCCGGGAGATAGAGAATAGCTCACCGGCGCTATGGACGGTCCGTCCTCTACCTCCCGCATCACCTCGGCAAGACCTCGTCCGAAAGGTCCGCCCGCGCCGGTTCTCAAGGGCTTCTGTATCCGGAGACCGATAAGGGTCGGAGCAGCAGGTTCATGTGTAAATGCCCACGACCAAAGGCCACATCAGCGTACCTGCGATACTATACGCAGTCAGGGTTGCCACGTAGTTAAACGTATTAACAGTTGTTTCCGGTAATAGAAAATGAGATCAGTCGATTAAGAATCCCAACAAGAAATAGACGAAGAACAGCGCATTTGTTTTCGGTCCTGCATTTATTGATGCAATTACAATGAACATTCCTTAACTTTGGGACTAAACTTCGCGAGCTAGCAAAATTATACAATAAGTGTTACTTTCGAGAGGAGATAGACGATGCTTCTACAGACTACATAGGACCACAGCGCAACAGCCAACGGAATCACACTGAACAGCGTTAAGTTCCCACAACATACTGAGCTTCTCCAACACCTCGCAAACCAAAAGCTCTGACTGAGCCTTTCTGTGTTTGTCCCCGTTAGATAACGGTATGGCTCATGAAAAAGCCGCGATTGGTAATCTTCTTTACGTTATTCCTCTCAGAAACCTATCTCGCACTTCATGCATACACATATGCAGCTCTTGTAGAGACTCTCGGACTTTGACACCCTTTTGGCACCCCCTTTGGAAATGGCTGTATCCGCCTCTGGACATAACTAATGTAGCCACAGTGGAAATGCTAGGTACTATTGGATATTTAGACCCACCAATATTTTTCAGCTCCTACGCCCATGCTATCTAGCAATAAAATATTATGCAAACACTTCTTATATACCCATGCAAACCCACCACTGTCCAACCGCTCACCAGTGTGGTGACCCCTGACCCCACACCCCACTGGCGTCTGGCGGTCTGCTGTTGACGGTTTGTTTACTTGTTTCAAGGTTTCAATAAATCGCGTTATTTATTTTTTTTTTTTTGGTAGCAGTAGCAGTAGTAGCACTGCTGATGGATGATGGAATGACATTCATGGGGCGGAGGACTTTATCAGCTCACAACTTAACCCGCGCCCTGGTGGGGTCTGTTTATAACGCGACCTGGTGGGGGGGGGGGGCTATTTTTTGCCCCCCCTCGTATCTCCGAAACTACTGGACGGATCCGAAAAATTCAAACGGCGTTCGAAAGGCCTGTCAAATTTGTCGAGGGAAACCAAATTTTATTGACCTCGGGGTCACCGATGACGTCACAGGTCAGGTCAAAGATGAAATGTTTCACCGTTCACGGGTCTTCTAGGGAATGCGCTATAACACCGAGGAAAACGCATTTTGTCGGGAATCAGCGATAGGGCGTCAGTTGCCTAGTAGATATGTTGCTGTTAGAGGTCACTGGTCATATCAGGTCAGGTCACAGGTCAGGTCACCAAAGGTCACCAAGGGTCACCACATGAACCCAACTTTACTAAGGTTATGCGATGCATGTTTTATGGCCAGTTTTTCATTTCCAACTCAATGGTGTTGGTTATAAGACCATCAGGTACGGTTTAGGTCACTTTCTGGTGGAGGTCAGGTCAAGGTCAGGTCAAAAAAGGTCAAATTTCAAAGTTGATATTTTTGCATAAAATCGGTATTGATTCGATGCAGCTCGTCACGGGGAGTCTAATGGTGGTCTTTGTTTTGCGCTAAGAGGTCTAAAATTGCTGAAAATTGAGTTTGAAAATTTGACGTCATCAATTTTGAACAGTTTTTTCGCTATAACTTGGCCAAAAAAAGAGGTATCGATCTCAAATTTGGTATGTAGATAGGAGGCGGTAAGGACTATCACATATATTCCGGTTTTTTTCGATATTCAAAAAACTTTTTGGATTTTTTGGCTATTATATTCAAAAAATCTATTTTTTTATTTTTGGGGGTCAAAATCCAAAAATTTCAAAAATCCGAGATAGCAGTTTTGTAGCCCTGTCTATTCTACAGCTTTTATGTCTGTATCATTTTTCTGTATTTGCAAAGCTATAGGCCTGACAGGTCTTCCCGCGAAACCCTTTTTTGGGTCGAAAACGGCAGAACATGACGTCACTCTGACGTCATTTCCGGCCAACCTATCATAGCCTTTGGAAAAAATTTTGGTCACAATGTGTAAAATTGATGTCCGGGAGGGTACTGAAAGTTTGGTGACGATCGGCGCAGTGGTTCTGGAGATATATCGAAAAGTCTGGAGGGGGGGCAAAAAATAGCCCCCCCCACCAGGTCGCGGGTTAAAGGGACACTCCCACCTTAACATTAGTTTTGAGTTGAGATAGCCAAATTGGTGGCCATGGCCTGCAAATACCGGTTTGGGCACTCACAACATCGAAAAATGCTTTAATTCGAAGATATGGAATTTCAAACTTGCAGTTTTCGGATTCTAAGGGGCTAATGCATTGGAATGACCCCTTAGAATTTGTGACGTCAGCGGAGATCTAACGATTTTTAAATCTTAGACTAAAACCATCGTTAACACGTGGTGGTATACGCTGCTTTGCGCGCAACGTCTGCCGCACTTTAAGGCTGCCAAATTATTGCTTCCAAATAAAGTCGCTAGTAACAGGGGAGATCCCAAAAAGTAAACAAAAGTAAAAGCCTAATATCTTGAAAACCAGTGAATATTTTTCGGTGAAATTTGGTAGATATTCGTTTTCGCTCTTTCTGAACCAAGGGACATCACTTTCATGCCAATTCATTAACTTTTTTGAAGGTGGGAGGGTCCCTTTAATATCACGAATATGACAACCTTCTAGTCCTCCATTTATTTCACATTTTCTTTTCAAACACCATATTGTTAGTATTCAAGTTCTAGTTTTTTTAGGGGGGGGGGGCAAAAAGATATGTTTGCCCAGAGGTTTTCCGTTTAGGGGGGGGCAATTGCCCATTTTGCCCCAACGTAGATCCGCCACTGGAGGCAGCCAATAAAAAAAATGCTTAGTATTTTGCATTTTGACGCTTCCAGTCAGCAAAGAATAGTTCTTGTGAAATACGGCCCGAATCGTGTGCCTCGGACGTTTCGGTTACATGAGCGATCCGTTCCAAATACGCACTATCGCTAATTCGCATCAGCTCCCCAAGAACGCATTCAGTGCACCGACTACATGAGCAAATTCGTATCAGTGACGTCAAACGGATCTAGTTTGGCTCTCGGCCCAATGCGCATTACAAACGGAATAGCATACAAATGTGGCGCACTTCCGTAGCAATAGAGGTGACTAAATTAAAAATTTATTATCTTATGTCTTTTTTGCATTTAATCTGCTCAAAACATTCTCAATTAACTTAACAAAAAAAAGTTGAACATAAAGTTGTCTTGCTTTGACTCATTGGGCAATTGCCTCTTTTGATTCGTCTGTAGTGCTGTCAGAATAATGTTTCAACTGAAATTATGTGGATATTTACTATTTGGGTTTCACTATATTTAGTGTTGAAAACTTGACAAAATACCGACATATTTTTTAAATATTATTTCAAAAGAAGAAATTGAAAAAATACCTATTATTTTGCATTTTAATGTTTCTTTTTGCAAAGAAATAGTTCCTGTAATACGTATCTTGGTCCTATTCGCTTCTAAGCCTCTTTCCCTGCGGATTTTGTTCGGACCGCCGATTCGTATTAGCAGGTGGATACATGAGTCGGTAGTACGCTCCTGATTCGCATTAGCGGTGAATCCGATCGTGATACGTATTTGCGTTGCTCATGTAACCGCGGATCGGATCGCCGATTCGTACTAGCAGGTGGCTACATGAGTCGGTAATGCGTTCCTAATTCGAATTAGCGGCTAAATACGTATTTACTGTGCTCTTGTAACCCCGATAATAGAGTTCAGTGGATCCGACAGATACTTGTCTGCTTGCTTTTCTGTTGCTATCTTTTGCTAACCCGGATTGCACCCACTGCCATACACCGCCTTTATATTGTGAGCGGCTGCAGCCTGCAAAATGTAGTTTGTGCGTAGTTGCTGATGTAGGTATAATCTATACTACAATCAGGCATTGAAGCATACTGAGGATCAGCCATTTCATCAGCTCATTTTTAGCCAGCGTGCCGTCAGAATCGTGCCTTATCCCCCATTGAGCTTCAACAATTTTGACAAACAATTGGTATACATCGAAATTGAATTGACACTTGACAGTCCATCGTACACCTTTCAACGACTGAGAAGAGAAGGTCGACCCTTTGGTTTGTATGCACGTATGCATCGCCATAAAAGGGTTTCCGATGGCGTGAAGATCCCAGGCTGGGATAGAATCTTCATAGCCGTAGGTTTCCTCCCTTCATGATTCGTATGTTTCCGTAAGTCGTAAAGACCATGGTGAAAATATAAATATGCCATGTCATTTCTTTAATCCCTCAGGCTCAGGGTATGTAGGACGAATGATTAAAATTGCTGAGAGTTTACTAGGCAACAAGCGAGAAAGATGCGGAGCGGATCGCTTGGTTTTTACCCCAGAGGAAGCAGATGAGAAAAGCAGACAACACCGAACAATTGTAACAGTACATATATTTCATAACACTTTCGCTATTGGTTTTCCTCATCCATAATTATAATAAGTTTATAACCCATGCCAGTTAATGATCTCCCATCGGCATAGCCTCTAAAACAGCCGATATCAGCGCAGATTGCAAGGACGGGTATCCCCGTTACTCCCCAAATACATTTACCGTATGTAGGGAAAGAACTGAAAGAAGTCAGGTGGAAATATTGGCTTCACACTGCAGCACATGCTGATAAAAACTTCACATCACAGTATGGGTACATGACAAGTGCCCACGGTGAACGCCCCGCGAAGTCGGCGCTCGGTCAGTGCATACAAGGAACTGGCCGTACGCAGTCAGGGCGCCGGGCCGGCGCCCGGGTCCGGTCGGGACAAGGGACCGGCGCCGGCGAACCGTGCCACCAGCTGCTCCTCGCGCTGCTGGGCGCGCAGTTTGTCCTGCCGACTGCGCTCGGCACGCGCCTCCGTCTGCTCCTTGAGCCGCAGTGAGCGGCGCTGCAACAGGCCCAGCGGTCAGTGCTGCCAGCCAGTCAGTCTTACACAGCAGCTCTTCGTCTTGCGAAACGTCTAAATCACAGCACATACCCTCGCGCTAAAATAAAGCACCGTTGCCAATTTGCAGCGACGGGAGCATTGTCGTGGAAAATACTTTTGAAATGAACGTTGAGGTATCCAGCATCCACCTTCATAATTTATAAATGAATAGTTTCTCAATATTTTACAATAAGCAGCAGCTTCATAGCCGGACCATGCGGACTCAGATTGAAGACGGGCGATTCCTTGCAAACTGGGCGTACCAAGCTATCACTAGCAAATAGCAACGATATAATTACCTTCAGCTTGACGCACCGGTCGTGGATATTGGTCATTTGCTTCTTTATCCTCGTCAATTTCCCTTGGTAAACCCTTACTTGTTGCATCTGTAACATTGTCCAATAGGTTGTTATGTTGTTGCTCAAATGTCCGTTGGGCGTTGGAAACTATGACAATAGTGATTACAATTTACAAGCAAAAGTTCGGTTACATTGCAGAGGGGGAGCCATGAATTAGAAAAAAAATTAATTTGAATGAGCCTGGCTATCTGTGCGTCAACACTCAACACAGATACAAGGTAACAACAATTACCAACACCAGGGCCATTGCTGATTCACAAGAAACCTGGATCCCTAGCACGCTAAAGGTCGATTCATTTCGCTACCACTTTCGATTATCCCGACGACTGTCGTCTAGAGTTCTACCGGAAACCCAAGTCCCTTTGATATAGGTACAAAATGTTTTACTGTCCGTGTATTTAGTTCTCCGTCTCACAGGCCCAAATACTGGACAGCTCTTCCACTGCCATCATGCTAAATAGTTTAGGGCGCATACATTCCGAGTCTAGCCCTCGGGACTTGGCGGCGCAGCTGAAAACGAAAGTAGGGGACAGGCGGCACTAGGAAATATCGAACTTAGGGCCTCCTAAACCACCAACTAACTGTATCGACTCTTTGGCTGCCGTCTCATTTACAGTTTGGATAAATTTTGGGACTGATGATAGACCATCGTGCGATCTTTCAAGAAGGCAGAGCCTGTTTCTCAAAATCCACCATTCCTGTTTCTAGAAAAATAATGATTAATTTTAAAACAGATAAATAGTTGAGTTCTCAAACTCAATGTGCAAATTCATCAATTGTTGAACATGCCAATTCAGATCATCACACTTAGAAGTATGCCATATAATCACTCATGCAGATCGAAAATTCATCCCCCATCTGGCCATTCCAATTCAAGTGCTGGGACCTATTTTGTTCCTTACCAGTTCAGGTATATTGTAGGTATATTCACATTCCTTGAAACGACTGTTCTCTTGCTCCATAATCTTCAACAGCCGTTCTTGTCCATTCCTGGCAGATATTATTCTGGTCACCTCTAAGCCTAAGGTAGGTATTACCCTGCCTGTATTAGGCATAAGCAATCTAGCACACTCATCGGCAGCATACACAAGCTGTGGCTGCAATGCAATGTTGTGAATGTGAAAATATAAAAAGCCAGAAATGAAGAGATATTTATTGCAAGCTATCACAACCGTCAATCCCTATGTATATGTAGTAGCATATACATTTATATATGCTATTATCTATTTATATATGTAGCATTTGGTGAGGACATGAGCTCATCTCATAGACCACCCCCAATTATGACAATAGTTATCCTTATGATAATTTTTATGCTGAGGCATGAAGATAATAACATATTATATTTGTTTATCATCATCAAGCACAGTTCTTATGCTTGCCACCCAGACTGGAAAACATCCATACACTAAGCCGGACGCCTGTGAGACCCTCTTGCGCCGAAATTCGTCGCTAGCGATTTTGCGCTGAAATTTCTGTGATTTGCGCCAAAAGTTAGGTGCTCAATGCCCATTTGTGCGAAAATTAAGCCATTTTTATATAAAGCACATGTGACATGTCATGTGCACATCTACCGATCAAGGCTATATGAACCAGACAGACCCCGCGTTCAATGTCTCTCGGACGACGAAGATTCTACGTCGTCCGGCCAATCCCGTCCAAGGTCAGCGGGGGCTCGGCTGCGGCTATGGAACGTGATTGGCCGGACGGCGTAGAATCTTCGTCGTCCGAGAGACATCGAACGCGGGGAGAGTGTTCCGGGGCCTTGTACACTCTCCCATGTTTGAGCGTCCGAATGAGTTTTTGATTTCCACGGAAACCCAATACCTCAATAGTCTTAGCGCACTCTAGCTTCATGCCGTGAAACAAAGCTGGAGCCGTGAGTTCCAGGGCCACAAATTTGTGCCGATGTTAATATCGGCGGAGCAGTGTGTTCGAGGCTGGCGGGAGTCAGCGAGGGCCGGGCAGCGGGACAGCATGTGCTCCGGCACATCACCCTCTTCTCGGCACACGGCACTCGGCACACGGGGCACCGCTTGTCTGGGCACTGCTGGCACGCCGCGGAGTGGAGACAGCCGATTCAGCGCCGTATTCGCATTGGAGCCAGCGGCCCCAGTGGCCCGCCCTCATCTCGTGCACCGAAACGGCATCCTCGGTCCTCTCCGGGGATAGGGAGCGGCGGCGTGCTCCCGAGGAGTGGGCTTGAAATGAATTGTGATTCTGAGCAGTTGTCGCGCTCTGCGCCGGACAGTGCGATGCGAGGCCGCACAGTGAACCGCCATGGTCAGCGAGTGGGCGTTTGAGGGCAGGGCGGCCGCCTGTTTTGCCAAGTCGTCCGCGCACTCATTCCCCTCGATACCGCAGTGGGCAGGAACCCACTGCAGTATTGCTTAACGACGCTTGGCGATGTTCAACAAGGTCTTCTTTACCTATCTCCACGCCGAGGGTCCAGCGTACCGCATAAATTCGGTGATCGTATTTCGCCAAAAAATTATGCGACTGCCCTGCGCCGAAAAATTCGTATGCCCCTATGCGCTGAATTCAGAGCAAGTTACGCCGGACGTGCGCTGAAATTTTCGGCGCAATCCCGCCACTATGCCGGACATATTCGGCGTAACGTGTATTTTTTCCAGTCTGGCCTACATAGCTAGTGCCCACCTAAACAACCATAGGTGATTCATAAATTGATTTCAAAAGTACTTACAAGAGTTCATTGATGTGGTCTTTGCTTTCTTCCAATGGTGGTTGATATAATGAGACCATACATTTCGCCAAGTCCTCCATATTTGATCCTTTAGCATCTTGACAAGTGTCTACTGGTTTGTTAGATTCTGGAGTCTCCATAATATTGTGGAAAGATGATGTCCACCTATACCTAGGACAAAAGGCCATATAGTATAATAGTTATGTGCACATGAACCCACAGCGATACTCTTTACAATGCCTACATCATGAACATCTTGGACTACAACACCAACACTTCACATCACATTGCCAGGCATTGCTCGCCATATCAATATGTCACCAGCAGAGATAACGGCAGCGCGGAAGCCAAATGGATGTGTATTTGAGCTTATACTGATACTAGGCATTTAAAGCTAGTTCATCAAAATGTATTTCAATCTCATAAAAATAAAAATATCAAGTCTCTGACTCTCTTCGCTTTTTTTTTTTAGTGGCCCTAACTTACGTTACTGGCCTCGCGAGGAGGGCGGCGACCTAACTACGCCGCGCAAAAGAAACCGGCCGTCCTAACTAAGACCGGTGGCCACTTTTACTGCAAGACAACATGGGAAAACCCATATCCATGTACTATGCCATGAATATGGGGAAAAACCCATGAATTTACGTTAAGATACATAAATGACAGTGAGACTTACCGTTAAATTGATGTTTGTGAGGGGAGGGAAGGAGGAAGTTTGTGAATGGTAATTGGTAGGGTTACGATGTTACGATAAAAGTTGGATGATAGGAATCGTTTGAAGAGTGGAGGATATGTCGCTGCCGCTGTTATATCCTCAGCGGCATTTCACACTTTGTAGGAATGTAGCACTTGCGCCATTAGCGTATACAACAAATAAAAATGTACGTGAAGACCGAAGATCAACGCAATGCTCGTTTATGAAAATTCAGATTTATTCATTTTTCATCACTGAATCGCTAATGGCAATATATTTTACATACGGAAGAAATTTGAAATTTTGATTTGTCTCATAGCGTACAGGGCTTAAAAATCTTGATATCGATAAGGGCAAGTGTAGACAAATCAAGGTTATTCAATTGTTTTCGTCGTGTGAAATTCCGGCTCTCTCTATCGTCTGGATAAAAATAGGCCCCGCCCATCCCAATCAGCTGCTGCATGACGAGTTGATGACGACAACCACTTACTTACCAGCAACCACTCTAGGGATAGCGTACGTGACAGTAATGGTGCAGCGGTTGCAAAATATTACATTGTTATTCAAACGGTTTTTGCTTATTGCATGGAGGATATGTCATTAGATGAGGTGTTGATGAAGGCAGGTATTTTTAATTTTTTTTTTGACAATTTTTGCCCTTGTTCTTCTTAATAACTGAATCCGGGACCACCTGAAGTCTAAACCTTTTTTTTAGATAACATGTCAATGCTGTCTTGAAATGTGAAATTTAGACAATGGTAATAGGAATAATGAATAGCAATTTCACTAACAACTTGTTAATCTCTAGAAAGTGTAACTAAAATTAAAAGCACTCTGCCACACTGCTTCGATCCTGGTCATGCAATTAATGTTCATGGGTGGTGTTTCACGGCAGAGCACTGCAGTGTGCTGCGTGTGTCGGAGCATTGGGTTTCCATGGCAGTGTCAACAAACTTCACTCTGACGCTAAGCTATGACAGCATCCCAGAATGCTAGCACGCTGTGGCGCCAGCGCCAGCAGCATGCTAGCAGTATTTGAACTCAAACCTCTGTTCTTGGTAGGTACTTGGTTTTTCAGGACCTCTCACTCTGTTCCAAGTGTGATTCATCATAAACAAAGAGATCACATGCAACGTCATTTGAGTGACGCTATGGTATGCCGTAGCTACCATAGCATAGCTGCCAGCGCACACAGTGTCTGGGTGGTGAAACAGGGCTGTTGCAGACGTTCTTCAACTTGACTCAGTGGACTGTATAACTGTGTGTGTGTTGACGTCTCGCATCATTTGGTGTGGCGACCGGGGCCTGACAGGATATAGGTTGATATGGTAATGAGGCGAAATGGGAATTTATAATATAAGAAGGGGATGCTATATGAATGGATATAATTTTGGATCAAGGTTTAAGAGCACTCTTTTCAGAGCGACAAAGGAACCCTCTTTACAGAGAGCATGTTAAGACCTAAAAGGGTATGCAGAGCCCTCTTTTCAGAGAGACAAAGGAACCCTCTTTACAGAGAGCATGTTAAGACCTAAAAGGGTATGCAGAGCCCTCTTTTCAGAGAGACAAAGGAACCCTCTTTACAGAGAGCATGTTAAGACCTAAATATAGAGCCCTCTTTACAGAGAGACAAAGGAACCCTCTTTTCAGAGAGCAAGAGGTATTAGGAAAATAAGGAATCAGATAGGAATGATAAGTAGACCCGGTCACCGTGAAATAGAAGACTGTGCGAACTGACTGTGTGCCACTCTCCCCGTGCTCTTATCCGCCGCTGCACTCCACTCTTCACCATTCACAAACACAAGATTCTTCCGAACTGGTGAGTATTGCAGATGGCGAATAGGCGATGACAACACAGTATCACTGATAAGAAGAGTTGGCCAGAGAGCGAGGCAGTGCTCTCTCGGCGCCGAAAAGTAAAGAAGTGAGAGCGAGGGTTGGTCCCGCCCCGTTTATGTACTGGGTCGGGAGGACACAGATGGCGACGGAAGTGATGAAATAACGAAGAAGCTACACACTACACAGCGTCCTGGTAACCCTACCACGCGGTCGGCACATGTCGGCCTAACGGCTCCGACCCGCCGGGGACACAGTTCCACGTGCGACGCCACGCCAGCCCACCCCCTCCCCCCGGGTCAGTCCCTCCGGTAACAGCGCATCCTTTCATACAACTGCAGCTGTAGGACACGGTCGCAGGGAGAGAGGAGCGTCCCGTCACCCGATCACTGCCATAAACTCTCTCGCGGACGGCCCATCTGCCGGCGGCATGGCAGGGGGATGGGGGCGGCGGCGGCGTGGAGCGGCGCCGGCCGAGATCACGAGTCGGCCCGGCCCGGCAGCTACGATCAGAGCCGAAATGAGCCGCAACACCAACTACCTAGTGCAGTTTGTCGGCAACATCACTCCCCCCTGTGTTTAGCTATGCATTCTAAACACACACACTAAGGAGACGACAAACGTTCCGGCACATCCACTAACTGCATCTCATCACACCGCCGTCGCTGCTGTACGGCGACAGCGGCAGTAGTCCGCTCCTTGAAGACGTTCCGGCTGGTCGCCGCCCTTCACTATGCTGGCCAGGATGTTTGACTTCACCTCCTCCATGTCGTCCGTCAGCGGTGGCGGTGGCGCTTGCGCCGGCCAGTTCTCTTCGTCGTCGCTCAGGAACGCTGGGCCGCTCAGCCACCGGCTCTCGGGGGTGATTTCGGATGCAGCCAGTCCCCTCGAGCAGTCATCGGCCGGGTTCATCTTTTCTGGGACGTGCCGCCTGGTGCCGCTGAAGGTTCTCTTTCCAGACGACTCCTGAGGTTTCCTCCGCTGCAGCCGTTGGCGCACCCAGGCGGAGGCCAGATCGCTGGTCGAAGTGCCTTCCAGAACTTCGTGCCGGCTGCTCCTCCATTTAGACAGTTTGAACCCCCCGTCAGAGAGGGCTCGGATGGCTCCTTGCTTCAGATGCTTGGCGGTATCCGCATCCGTGTCATACAGCAAGAAGTCATCCATGCAGAAGTTTTGCTGGATCTGCTCGGGTTCTCTCGGAGGCGCTGTCCATCCTTCATTCCAGTGCTCTTGGGGCGTTTCTTTGAGGACATAGTTGGCGATGCCTGGTGACGATCGAGCCCCCAGCAAACCGGTTTTATATCGTCCTTGACTTCTGATTGTGCTCTCTTCCAACGGTTTGACCACTCTTTCTCCCTCCTTTGACCTGGGTTTAGTCTGGCAGCGCACAGTCCCGAAAGGTTCGGTAGACTGCCCTTCACTTGCAGCAGCAGACCGCTCGTCCTCCTGTTCCGTCAGCAGCAGCTTCGTGGACATGACTTGGCGCAAGCTACTGGGAACGGTGGCCGAGACCGAGCCTGTCAGTGCCCATCCGAGGTCGGTCTTAACTGCTACTGGTTGATTCGGGCGTCCGACACGCGTCTCTCTTTGCAGGACCGCTTCTAAGACGTTCGCTCCGATAAGCAGTTTCACTTGCCTACCGTCGTACTGTGGGAACTCAAGTCCGTGAAGGTGTTCACATCCCTCGAGCTGGCTTCCCTTTACCACAGGGGCTGTCACGTTGAGAGCTGGAACGGACCACACTTCAGGGATTTGGATGTCACTATTCCTTCCATCAGGATCCAGTGTGCTTATGGTCAGTGAGACGCGCTGCGAGGGCTTCCGGACGCCACCTCCTTCCACATTCTGAATTCGGAGTTGGCGACAGTGTCCGGTGATCCCAAGGTCACGCAGAACGTCTTCACGGCAGAGGGATGTTTGCGCCCCGGTATCGAGCAGCGCAAGAACCTCTTTCGAGCCTCTGGTGCCATGGACTTGGACCCGAACTACCTGAAGCAGGGTGTCCGTCTCCTCGTTCAGTGAAGCCGCCACGAACGGCGCGCTGTTACTGCCTTCTTCCTTGCGAGGTTTATCGGGTACCGCTTGTCCTTTGTTGCCATGAAGCAGGGGATGATGCTTGAACTTGCAGCCTTCGATACCGCACCTTCTGGCCATCCTGCACCTTCGGCTCCAGTGCCCTTTGCCGAGACACGAGAAGCACAGTGTCTCAGCGCTCACGATATTCATTCTTGCTTCGGTAGTTTTGGCCTTGAACGTCGGGCAGTCTGGGAGCTTGTGCGTGTCCTCACACACCACACATGCCCGTCGGGATTCTGGATCTGCCGAAGAAGTGACAACTGTCGCGAATGCCGACTTTCTTGCCGTCCCACCGTCCCTGGACTTGGCTGCTTCTGTCCTGTCGTTTGTCACAAACTGGCTGCCAGAGTGGCTAAGGACATCGACTTCTATCTTCAACCATGAGCTAAACGCCTCCAGAGTGGGTCGCACTGGTCGGAGCCTATGCACTTCTCGGCCCCACCCTCGACCAAGCTCAACTGGTAGCTTCTCCACCACTCTCCTCAAGTTTTCGCTGCTCGCTAGGTCGCTTGAGTAGCCCAGATTACGAAGAACTGTCACCGTGTTGTGGACGACTGAGTAGAATTGCTCCATGGCTGGGAGATCCATGAGAGATGGCGGGGTGCAGGTGAAGACCTTCCGCAGGTGGGCTTGTATGATGTCTTCGTCTCTGCCGAAGCGTTCCTGCAAGGTCTTGAGAGCCTCCTGGTAGAGTTCCCCGTCGAAGAGCATGCCGTTGATTGCTTGTGCAGCTGGTCCTTCTACCGCGTTCTGAAGGTGTGCCATACGCTCGGAGTCTGACAACGACGGCTGATTGTGCACCAAAGCTTTAAACAGCCCAATCCAGCGTGGCCACTCTTGAGCGCTTCCTCGGAACGTCGGCAGGGTCAGACGTGGGATGCTCTTCACAAACGCCGATTGTTGATGAAACAAAGGCTGTTGCTCAGAGCGAACATCTGTCACCCAGTTAGCGGGATGCTGTTCGTTCTTGCTGCTCGGCAGCTTGGCGCTGTTTGCGGCTGTCTGCTGCTCAGGTTGCAGTGCTCTGCGTTCTTCAAGGGGTGGCGCTCTACGCTGAGGAGGGTCGACCATTGCTGGACCCTCTTCCACCTCGCACTCCCTCGGGGCCAGAGCGACATTCTCGCCATCGAAATCGTGCCGTCTCTCCCACTCGAGATCGCTCTCAGCCGCCTTGCAGAGACGTGCCATCACAAGCGCTCGTTCCACCTCTTCCTCCATAGCCTTCTCCTCCAGCATGGCCTCTTGCTTCTTCAACATGTCCTCTTGCTTCTTCAACATGTCTTCTTGCTCCCTCTTCTGCCGCTTCAGCATGTCCTCTTGCTCTCTCTTCTGCCTTTCTCGTTCCTTTCTTGCCCTGAGATGCTTCAGCTCGAGGGCCTTCATCTTTGCAGTTATTTCAGCCTCCCTTGCCACTGTTGAGCCCTTTGAGCATTTTGAAGCCCGGGACCCACAGACCTTACTTCCGTCTCGCCGTGAAGCGAGCGACATCGGCTTCCCCTCTGTCACGGACGCTGAGCAGCCTGAGGACTTCAACTTGATGGCCTCTTTGATAGCCTTGATTGCTGAGGCGTGCCGTGCCGTCAACCGGGTGACATACTCTTCCGCCTCCTCTATCTCTTCAACTTCCTGCACCTTCTCCGCATAATCATCATTAATCTTCAGGACGCTGTCCAGCGCCGTGTTCAGGGACTCAAGCCGCTTCCTAAGTTCTTCTTCACTTGCACAGCGATCGATTTGTACCTCAGCCATGTTACAGGCACGGGTGAGTAGGGCGGCCTTGCGGCCACGCTGCAGCTTCAGGGTCTTCAGCTCACCGGTGGCTGTTCCTTCCTTCACTCCGCCATCGACCCTGTTCTGCGGCATCGCCTTCCCGTTGCTTTCCTCTGTTGAGTCTTGAGGCGTCAGGGCTCCCAACTCTCCAGCAGCACGTCCATTCTCTGCTCCAGTGCCGTCGCCGCTCCGTAGCATCATCTCTCTGTCGTCTCCCTCCTTTGAATCTTCCATTAGCCTTCACTTAGATCCTGCAGGGGGCGAGTTGATACCACTTGACGAACACTGGCGAGGGTTGCTACTGCAGGCTGTGCCTCTGGGCCTCTTCCTCTGACTTCTCACCTCTGGCCGGGATCATCCGGCCCGGAGGACCAGAAAATGTTGCAGACGTTCTTCAACTTGACTCAGTGGACTGTATAACTGTGTGTGTGTTGACGTCTCGCATCATTTGGTGTGGCGACCGGGGCCTGACAGGATATAGGTTGATATGGTAATGAGGCGAAATGGGAATTTATAATATAAGAAGGGGATGCTATATGAATGGATATAATTTTGGATCAAGGTTTAAGAGCACTCTTTTCAGAGCGACAAAGGAACCCTCTTTACAGAGAGCATGTTAAGACCTAAAAGGGTATGCAGAGCCCTCTTTTCAGAGAGACAAAGGAACCCTCTTTACAGAGAGCATGTTAAGACCTAAAAGGGTATGCAGAGCCCTCTTTTCAGAGAGACAAAGGAACCCTCTTTACAGAGAGCATGTTAAGACCTAAATATAGAGCCCTCTTTACAGAGAGACAAAGGAACCCTCTTTTCAGAGAGCAAGAGGTATTAGGAAAATAAGGAATCAGATAGGAATGATAAGTAGACCCGGTCACCGTGAAATAGAAGACTGTGCGAACTGACTGTGTGCCACTCTCCCCGTGCTCTTATCCGCCGCTGCACTCCACTCTTCACCATTCACAAACACAAGATTCTTCCGAACTGGTGAGTATTGCAGATGGCGAATAGGCGATGACAACACAGTATCACTGATAAGAAGAGTTGGCCAGAGAGCGAGGCAGTGCTCTCTCGGCGCCGAAAAGTAAAGAAGTGAGAGCGAGGGTTGGTCCCGCCCCGTTTATGTACTGGGTCGGGAGGACACAGATGGCGACGGAAGTGATGAAATAACGAAGAAGCTACACACTACACAGCGTCCTGGTAACCCTACCACGCGGTCGGCACATGTCGGCCTAACGGCTCCGACCCGCCGGGGACACAGTTCCACGTGCGACGCCACGCCAGCCCACCCCCTCCCCCCGGGTCAGTCCCTCCGGTAACAGCGCATCCTTTCATACAACTGCAGCTGTAGGACACGGTCGCAGGGAGAGAGGAGCGTCCCGTCACCCGATCACTGCCATAAACTCTCTCGCGGACGGCCCATCTGCCGGCGGCATGGCAGGGGGATGGGGGCGGCGGCGGCGTGGAGCGGCGCCGGCCGAGATCACGAGTCGGCCCGGCCCGGCAGCTACGATCAGAGCCGAAATGAGCCGCAACACCAACTACCTAGTGCAGTTTGTCGGCAACAAGGGCCATTATTAATCACATTTGCTTTACTTTGTTTCAGCGGAAACCTGTCTGCACATGGGGGGAGCACAACAAAAGCCCATCAAGTTCATGCATGGCAGTGGATCTCAACAGGAGAAAACCAGAAAGAGCATAGATGCTTAAAAATTGCAGTTGTACACTGCTGTTATCACCTGATGTGAGTGGCTGGCATTGCTCCTGGCAAGAACCACCTGCAAGTGATGAGCTTGCGCCTCAGTCGTTGAGTGTGCTGTAGTGTGAGAGGCGCCCTGATCTCTACTTCATAATTGGTTTCCATTGGAGGTTCAACTGAGAAGTGAGAACTGACTGTGGCCGT